TTTTTTTTTTTTTTTTTTTTTTGACGTTGACATCCCACTTTGATCCATCGAGAAAAGGGTCGGGCCACCTATAGTGTTTAAAAGCCTCGATGATCTAAAAAACCTGAACCATGCAACCTAACTCGAATCGTTTGAGTTAGATTATCAACTCATTTGGGTTCGTTAAGTTCAAGTAAATGAGTCTCTTCATGAGTATGGGTTAGAATCAAATTTGGATCTTGGGTTAGGTTGAAAAAATCGACAGTCTGAACAATTAGGTTTGGTTTAAAAAATGTCTCAATCTGACCCAACTCAGTAATCAAACCTAGATTTCTCTCGTATAAAAATACCCCTAACTCCAATTATTTCGAATTTCCTTGTATTCCTTTTTTAACGTCAAAATCATAACTTTTACATAATAAAATAATAGCGACAAGATTCGAGAAATTAAACCTAATTTAAGGTACATTAACGGTTGAAAATATTATATTAATAATTATAAAATTCGGAATGTCAATTCATTGGATAACGATAATGTAACATCATACGATAGGTGAAGCTAATAAAAGCGGGAAAAGGCGTGCTAAAAGGAAAGGTTATTGGTAGCCTTTTCTTCCCTAAATCACTAAAAACAAAGTGAAAGCAATAGAAATGGTATCTCTTTTTTTACTTTACTTTTTTAAATATTTTATTTTTATGCACAAAAAAAAAATAAATAATAATAATAATATTAATCACAAATCTAATCTTATTTATCTCTTAATCAAGAGACAAAATGACGATAAAAGGTACTTAGAAAAGACTAAATTAAAAGGAAAAGAAAGGACTAATTAGTCTTTTACACGTTACTAATTTTCATTTCTTTAAATGGATTTGATAAAACCTTATTGGAGATTTTGGTGTCATTAGCACTTAATGAAAAGACAATTAGTGAATTTTTTATTAATTTTTTTTAAAATATTAACCTATTGTGGTTAAAATTTTCTACCTTTTTAATTTATTATGTTTTTTGAACTCAGGTAAAAAAAAATATCCCAACTGTGCCTCTAAACTGCTCGTGAATTTTAAATTTTATTTAAAAAAATCCGTTTAAACTTTTAATTACCAATAATATTAAATGAAGACCGACGGTATCAATTTACGTGAATGATAAAGTTTTTTTTTTTTACGGTTAAATTTTGAAATTTACTCCCCAAAAAAATTATTAATAAATAGATTTTTACTCATCAATTTACTCGAAGTAACGTAAATAATTTGTATATACTTTTTAATTTATTATATTTTTTTAACTCAGATAAAAAAATATATATTCCAAGCTCGACTATGCCTCTAAATGCTCGTGAATTTTAAAATTTATTTAAAAAAATATGTTAAACCTTTCAATTACCCAAAAATAATATTGTGTCAATTTACGTGAATGATGTTGTAAATAATTACCGATAATATTTTTTAAGGGGTGGTATTAAAAAAAAAAAATTTACTGTTAAATTTTGAAATTTACTCCAAAAAAAAATCATTAATAAATAAATTTTTACTCATAAGCTTATACTGTTAAAATTTTCTACCATTTTTAATTTATTATATTTTTTTAACTATAAAAAAATATATATATCCCAAATTCGAAATGCTCATGAATTTTAAAATTTATTTAAAAAAATATGTTTTTTAAAATTTATTTAAAAAAATATGTTTAAACTTTTAATTACCCAAAAATAAAATTTATTTAAAAAAATATGTTTAAACTTTTAATTACCCAAAAATAATATTCTTACCGATGTTGTAAATAATTACCCAATAATATTTTTTAAGGGGTGGTATTAAAGTCTTTTTTTACTATTAAATTTTGAAATTTACTCCAAAAAAAAATCATTAATAAATAAATTTTTACTCATCAATTTACTCGAAGTGCGGTAAATAATTTGTATATCACATTAGCCATCGTGTCAATTTCCACCTTATTTTAACAATTTTTAAAAAAATTAAGGGTAAAAGTTAAAATTTTTAATATCGAGAGATATAACTGAAACTTACCCGAACGTTCATAATTAAAGGACATGATATGATATGATGTAAATAATTTGAGTGATAATTATTATTTATTTAATTCTATAACTTGGAATCCAATGGTGGCGTGGCATGAGTGGAAGTCCACTTGATGTTGTATGGAATTTAATTAGCCTCAAATTAGTATTAATTTCTTGAAATTAATTTCATAACCTAAAGTTGTTTATTATAAAGTCAAAAAAGATTCAATTAGAACAAAATCCGAGAAATTCTTATAATGGAATAAAGCGGGAAAAAAAATATCGAAACTTTATACTAAAGAATGTAATATAAAAATCCGAACAACTGGGTATTCGATTATAATATATGTTTTTTTCTCGTTATTCGAATCTGTCTTTGAAGGAAATAGGACACGGAGTTCTAATATTATTTTAAAAGATGTAGAACAGACATGGAATCTTAGAATTGAGCTCGAGATCGAGGTCGAGGTCGGGGAATATAATAAGAATTTTGTGGATTATAAGCTAAAATTGAAAGATTTTGAGGGTATTTTGACCAATTATGTGTGGGAAGGGATAAGAGAGGAGGAGGATGAGAATAATAAAGGGAAATTTTTGAGTGGGTAAGGGAAAGGGAAAGGTTTGATTAGATGCACAAAAGAAAGAGATGGAATGGAGGCAAATTATATTGAATAGGACAAGAGACAAAAAGGATTAAAATGGGATATGGAACCAAACAAGATACCAACATCATGGTCCCATTATGCTTTGTTTTCTTTTGTGTTTTTTTTTTTTTTTTTTTTGGG